GGAGGATGGAGGGAGGGAGGGAGTGGTGGTGGGAAGGCTAAGGAGGCTAGTGAGGGGGAAGGAGGGGAGGAGGGCTCGACCGAGCTGAGCAAAAACACGCCAAAACACTTTTAAATGTCCGCCATGTTGCCCATGGCGCACTGAGCCGCCAACGCGGAGGGGAATCGGAGCGCCGGGAAAACGCAGGCCGACACTCAGCGACCGACATCCGGGCCTCCACCCCCACCACATCACACGGCGGCTCCGGGCTGGCGACGCCCTACCTTAGCGCTTGACAAGCTTACAAAAAAAAAAAAAAAAAAAACGTCAGAGTTGGCCGCCCCAGAATCATCCATGAAAGCTTCACTCGTCACCGCGGTGAATCTTAGGAGCTCGGAGAGACATTATTTGTGAGAGGGGGGACCTGGAAAGCATCAAAATGAGTAAATTGTCGTTTCGGGCGCGGGCGCTGGACGCCACCAAGCCGCTGCCCGTCTTCCGTTGTGAGGATTTACCCGACCTGCACGAGTATGCGTCCATTAACAGGGCCGTGCCACAAATGCCGACGGGCATGGAGAAGGAGGAGGAATCGGTAGGCTTTCTTTTATTCCACCATGTAATTTTAAAAATGTGCTTTATGCTCGTTTTTCCACCATCACAGTCGCCTTCCTTTATGTTCTGCGCAAGCCCTCACAAAATGGCCGCCCGTTTTTTTCCTGACTGAAACACGACGATTTTGAGCCACAAACGGCGTTTTTCCGTGCTTGAGTTACGTTTTGGGCAACCTGGGGACGCGCTGTGTCCATTTCGGATACATTTATCGGCTTTTCGGTGGAAATTTGAGCGTGAAGCCGTTTTCCGAGTACAAAGGGATCATGTGACTTCGGCGCGGCGGACATTTTGTCTCGGGGCCTTGTGTTGGCGTAGTGGTGAGGGGAGAGCGGCAGGGGGCGCCCGAGGGGAATGTCAACACGGCACGCACGCCTCGCTTGGGACAACTGGATGCCAGCTAGCTAGCTTCGGCACTTTGGTTTCCAACATGTTCGCATTGGCCATGTGTGTTTTGGTCTTTTTATTCTCCGCGAGATTAACCTAAACGTTTGGAGACTTGGATACAAGAGTCGACACAAAATAAACAGTTATTATTTCAGATGTTGGCTTTTTATTGATACTGATACCCAAGTAGTGATCCACTGTTGTGATTGTAGTACGTGAACTGTGAGTCAGTTCTAATAGTTTGCACGCAAATTATTTAGTAATACGAGGGAAGTCACAGTTTTATACTTGTTTGGGTCCGTTGTTACTCGTATCGGGAATGTTGTATTGTTATTTTTAGTGGTCTGTTTGGGTGACTGTGTAGCAGTATGAGAGGTGTCATAATTTACTAGGTGTACTTAGCTCACACTAGTAATATAGGGCAATCATTTATTGTGATATATATTTTAGTCACAGGTTTTCAGCAACATGAATGATGTCATGGGTTACGGAGATGTGTATGTGGGTCAGTTTTTACCTATTTTCTAATCCGCTTATCCTCACAAACGAGGGTCGCGGGCGTGCTAGAACCTATCCCAGCTCTCTTCGGGCAGTAGGTGGGGTGCACCCTGAACTGGTTGCCAGCCGGTCGCAAGGCACAGACACAGATGAACAACCATTCTCGCTCACAATCACGCCCATGGATGATTTAGAGTGCTTTATTAGCCTGCCATGCATGTTTTTGTAATGTGGGAGGAGTACCCGGAGAAAACCCACGCAGGCATGGGGAGATCATGCAAACTCGACACAGCAAGGCTGGAGCCGGGGAATTGAACCGTGTACTTCGGCACTGCGGGGCCGACGTGCTAACCAGTTGGTCACTGTGCCGCCTCCATTTTTATCGGGATCTGGTATTTTTTAGTGTTATTTATAACCTGAACCAGACTGTTTGGTACTTGTCCTGGGAGTGTCATTGTAAGACTTTTCAAATACTGTTAGATTATAATACTGGCTTTTGATTGAAACTGCCACACTGTTAATTATTGGGCATTGAGTTTGCACTGCTTTCCACGTGCAGAGCATTATGCCGTAAGCAATTTTTAATATCTTGGTTGCATTATTTATCAATATGAGGTATGTTGGAGTTCATGGTGGTGTGTTTTGGTCTCCTTTGGCAGTAAGTGATACCATATATTAAAATTTTATGCATTTGGGGGGGGTTAAGGGGGTCTGTATTTATAGTGTGTGTATTGTATGTTTTTTTTTTAATGCAGTTTTTGTATTTTGTATGTGTATTATAACTATATGGAGGGCGGGGAGCATAATTTACAGTGATATGAATTTTTAATTTAGCTTCAGCCTAATGAAAGGGGTTTGAATGTCACATTTTTGTCAAAGTAAAGGTAGCCATAGTTCACAGTGATAAGTATTTGGGTGATTATTTAGCAGTTGTTTATTGATTTGTATTTTGGTCATCTTAATAAAATGAGGGAAATTTATTGTTACATGTAAAATACTTTAATTGCAAAACTTTTGCAACAGGGGGATGTCATAATTTACAGGAGCATATTTAGTCACATTATTTTTGCAGACATAAGCGTAATCATCGTTTAGTAACGTGTTTTGGTTACTTTTTAGCAATACGAGTGACTTAATGATGACGTTTATGTCCATATATCCACACTGCTGTTGCTTTCTTGTGATTGTTTTTAGCGGGAAGCTGTCAAAGACACTTGATAAACATGCTGAGTGGCTTTAAGTGTATTTTTAGTGTTTTCGATGCCCCAAAACCTGTTTGATCTAGTATCTATGGCGCCACTGCATGCCTCCCAGTGGTAGTCTTGTTTACATCCAATTTTACACTTGCGTAACAAAGTGGGTTTTTGATTCTCTTCCTTTGCACCCTCTGAAGGATGCTGAATGTGCAGGTGACTCATGAGTGTCAGGCCAATGTGCAGGTCCAATTACAACTACCACTGCTCACTTTTTTTTTTTTCTTTTTGATTGACTGTCTGCCTGCTCGGTGTCAGGGGTTCAGTGTGTCAAATGGCACAGCAGGTCTGTAGACCGGCTGGCGAGCACGTGGCGCCCAGGAGGCGGTGAAGGGGTAGTCAAAGCGAGCTTGGTGGGAATGGGGTCGGTGGGTTGCCACTGTCGCTTGCTCAGCTGGAACTCTGTTACATAATCAAATATGGTAAAAAGCTGGGCCAAAACGCAAATGTTTGCCCTCGGTGTGAGGCTCACAGGGCAGGCTTTATGAGATTTTTTTCTTGGGGGTCATTAGCAACCCCACAAGTGATCATGGATCGACATGGAACCTCAGTGCACTTTTTACTGCTTTGTGAAATTAACATAATAAATGCATGGGTAGCATATTGACACAGACTGGCCACTCAGTGTTTAGCTAGTTAAGCTCCGGCTGCTTGCTCCAGTTCACAACAACCAACTTCACACTCTTTTGCTGAGACCCATTAACAAGCCAGGCGCAACCTTTTAATGGCACACATATTCAAAGTCACACTTAATGCACACGTTTGGTTGTTTAATCATCCATCCATCCATTTTCGGAACCGCTTAATCCTCACAAGGGTTGCGGGCGTGCCGCAGCATATCCCAAACGGTCTTCTGGAGGTAGGGCGGGTACACCCTCAACTGGTTGCCAGCCAATTGCAGGGCACATTGATTAACAACCATTCACACTCACAATCATACCTCGGGACAAACTTTTTCGTTTGAGGGCCGCACACAGAAAACTGTAAGGATGAAAGCGCCATTTTAAAATTCGTCAACTTTTTGAAACAGCTAAAGTTAGTCAAGAAAGCAGTTATATATTGTTTTTATAGTCTAGTTAATTTCATTAATTTTCTGTTAAAGGTGTTCGTGAAAATATTTTATTTTTCAAAATTTTTGGGGTGGCCAACAGCCTTCAATCTCACAGAATAGAGCCAGCTCTGCGCTTAACAGCAGCAAATCCCATCTCCACATTCAGAACCAAAAAAAAGAAACAACTGTAGTAAGGTTTTCCGCTACGTGAGGATCATCATTGTGATGTCTTCATAAATCAGCCATTGAGCTCAAAGTGGAGGAAACTATTTTTGCCCCTAAAATGTGATTATCTTTATTCACCGCAGTGTTTTGAAGATGACTTGTTCTTTTTATCATTGCTGGTTTATTTGTATCTTTGAATATAGCAACAAGTTCTACAGTACACTCTCCCTTCTCACTCTGCCCACCTTCAACTTTTTAACTCACACTGTGGCTCATGTCAAGTGTAATTTTTTTGTATTATCCATTTTGTCATGTCGCTGGATGCTGACAATGGATGGTGAGCCGCAAATGTCCCCCGGGCCAAAGTTTGGACACCATTTCTTTTCGGGTGATCAATTAAATTTCCATGCATTTTCTTGGAATGTGGAAGGAAACCGGAGTACCAGTAGAATACCCCACACAGGCGAGGCGAACATGCAAAATCCACACAGCAAGGCCGGGAACCAGGATTTCAACCCTTGGCCTCTGCACTGTGATAGGCGGACATACTAACCAGTTTGTTTGATTAATTGATTGGATGTGTGACAGAACAATTAATCGTATCAATGTTTGATCGCTGCAGACCTGGTCTGAAGCAACTTGGTGTGATTTTATGATTTGCCGTATTGGTCTTGAGATAAAACAGTGGGGCGAGGGTAGTACGAACTGTCCAAGTTCTCCAAAAAGAACTTGGGGTAATGAATTTGTTTGACACCATGTTTGCTAATCAGCTACTAGCTTTGCAGTTAGCAAACGTAGCTTGGGTTGAAATGTGACCTATATTTTCCATTATTTCCCCTTTTGTTAGTCATTTTAAAAATACTCTACACTATATTTGTGATTGTGTGAGCCACGTCCGGTCTTTCGTCATCAGTAGCGGGGCACTGTTTTGCCAAAGAACCGATTTAAGGAAGATGTAGAACACGTACCCCTATTCTGACATGCCAGACTTTCATTGTCGTGAAGCGTCCCAGACTACCAATCATTGACTTATGTCACATTACAGAGGCTATGACACGTCAAGACAATCCAAAATCGGCTACTAGTCTCTTGTTAGCCTGCAAAACGCCTGTCGGTTCAACATCCGGCTACATTTGTGTGGTCTGACATCGGCATTAGTGTGCGCGTGAGCATCTTGACATGATTTGTGGCTCACATCACAAGTTTTTTTCCGATAATTGAACGATGAAGACCATCCCGAAGATCTTCGCTGGGCTGCGAATGTCATCTGCAGTCGGGTCGTTGAGCTTTTGCAAATTTAGTCACAAGCTTTGGCTGGCTACTGCTGCCTGCCTGCCTGCCTGCTAAACATGTTGCGGTCTTGCTCCTGAATCAGTAATCACAGCTTCCGTGGGGGTGAATACGCTACACTTGTTACTTTTTCCTAGTAGTTGGCAACATTTGGGTTTGGAAAGGGTTATTCGCTGCATGTAAATGTAGCCACCAATGTCATGAAGGGATGCACTGATGCCAGACCCAGTATCATGTCTTGTAATTAAGACTGGTTGCTGTTTGTTCATGCAGCTGCCATGTTTACACTAGCAGGTTCGGGTACACTTTGCAAGTGAAAATGAAATGTTGTTTTTTTTGTTTTTTCTTTCTGAGCGGTGTTGGTTGATAAGTGAGGTTAACATCTGTATTGGAAGCCTTGTCCTCGCACTCGGTGTAAAAATACTGATTGCAGTGAGTCTAGATTGTCATGTTTATCTTGTGGTTGTGTAGTGTGCATTTTTTCGTTTTGTTTTGTTTTGGGTGACCTTAGTCGTGGTTCTGTAAAAGAGACAGTGGCTCCGCACGTGGTTATCGTGTGTTTGTTGTTGGATCGCCACCGTGTCTTTTATGGCGTTTATGCTTGGCTTGGAAGTGGGCTTGAAAGTGAGCGCGCTGTCTGTGGTCCTGGTGGAGATCCACTGGCATCTGAGACACACACACACACACACACACACTGACCTTGACTTAGCTGGAATGTGGCACATGTCACCATTGCGGAAAGTGGGTCTTTAACAGCTGACACTGTATTGGGCCGATTGCTGGGGTTGGCACATGGATGACTGACAAGCTGTCATCTAAAGAAATGAGGCCATGTACACACACACACACACATGCATATTTTTGGGGGGGGGGGGGGGATACCGAAAAGGTCAAAACGGTTTTGACCTTAAATGCACTGTTTCACTCAACCACTCAGTAAAACCTTAATGGTCACTCACTTAAGCTTTGTTGATGTTTCAGTTACTGCCTCAGTTTGTATTAATCAGATTTTTTTTTTCTCTGAGAGGATAACATGGCTTTACACTTCTGAAGTACAGTGCCACCTGTCAAGTAAAAAGTATTTTCATTAGGGATGGGTACCAAGTCTCATATTATTGTGTGTGTGTGTGTGTGTGTGTGTGTGTGTGTGTGCGTGTGTGTGTGTGTGTGTGTGTGTGTGTGTGTGTTTAGAATCAGTTACGGATAGACCGATACGGGTGACTTGTGACTTTGTCAGGCTTCAAAGCCAGTGTCGCACAAGCTGGCATCTGAGCGTTTCATCACCAGGCCTTACTAATCAATTTACACCCAATCCAAGTGTTACACTAACATAAGATAGTTTAGTCTTGGTTTGATTGGTCAGGCCAGGAGAGCGAACGTCGTTTTTTTTTTTTTTTTTTTTTTTTGTCTGTCTGTAGCTTACTTTTTGCAGTGATGCAACAGTGAGTTTTCAACAGATGATAGAATAAAGTAACTCAAGCACGAATCTCTTATCATTTAGCACACCACTGCTGACTGCAATGTCAGTGCTCCAAGTGATTGAAAATGATGGCGGAGAGTAAAATGCTCTGTGGTTACGTTTCTGAAAGGCTGATGTTGATGTTGTACGTTGCCACAAATGACTCTTTTGTTAATATTTGAGAGAAACATAAGGCAGCTTCACAAACATTAAGAAAATGTGCATATCACCTCACAGTAGTGCAATCGGCCCTTTGTTGCTCTCCACCAATTTTCTCTCTACAAAGTAATTGTTAATCCATGTTTGAAATTAGAATAATGATTTGTTCCAGTTATTTATTTTTCTTAGCCATATGATAAATTTCAACCGGTAACGACAACTGATTTACTGCTGTATGGCTGACACCGATAACTTAAAAAGAAAAAATACTAATAATATATGTTGTTGCAGTTTAAATGAATGAAACCTTTCGGTTCTGCCTCGCAATGCAGTGGGAGCGGAGGACGTTATATTAAAAGTGTTCGGCGACAACGTGCAGTCGCATGTTTTTCCTACTTTGTCACTTCAGACTGTGAGGCAATGAGCGATCTTAAGTTTTGATGCGTATAGTGCCTGTTTATAAAGTTTGTCAGTTTTTTTTTAATCACCCCCTCTCGTGTTTGATTTGTATTTAATATATCAAACCAAAATCAAGATTTTAATGTTTAAATGTGTTGGAGGGTTAGATTAGTATCTGTTGATGTTGACCATTTTTCTCGTCTAGTCTATTGCCTGTACGGCTAAAAATCAACTTAACAGCATTTTGGTCACACTTTCCCACGTTTATTCATGCAGCGCCTTGTGCGGTGTGCGCTCCTGAAGCAGCAGGAACTCCAGCAGACGAGCTTAAACCCCCTCATCCCCAAGGCTGTCCGTCACGCTAAGTGTGACTAGCCGCATCTGGGATCATGATGGATGCGTTCAGTTCTGCGAGGATATTTCGGGACGCCATTGTGATTGTAAATTGCGACCGTTCGCTACCGCCCGAGCGCATTTGTACGCCAGCCAATAGCAAGACACCCTGCCAAGTAAACAAACACTCATGATTGGTTTGGCTGTCAGCTCTTTTTGCTCAAGGCTGTTTGATCGTGTCCATATATGTGTTTGTGTGTGTGTGTATGCATGGTGCTTTGGGGATACCGCGGTATGCTAGCCTATATGCATGAAGGGGGGTGAAGTGGAGGGGTGATAGTGAATTAGTTTCATGCGTGGTTGGTATCAGCGCGCTGTGGGCTGTGACATTTTATAATTCTGTCACGCTGTAGTGTTGGGCTGTCACAAAGTTAGCGTTTTTAGATTATTCCATCAACTACTTCGGTAATCCAAAAATGCAGACCGTCAACATATTTATGTTTAAAATGAAAGATTTAGTTTGAATCAGGAAGTGTGATTTGGCTGCTTTCTTTCTGTTTAATTGCTTCTTTGCAACACACAACCAGTTGCCGATGTGTCATATGCCCTGTCCACTGTCAAACATTAGGTACTATGAGTGTAGAGCACCAGCAGTGTGTGCAAGACAGACAATCTTGTAAGGTTCAGATCAATAACAAAATATTTTGTTACCCTGTGTGTCTCGCGTGCCTTTATTAGCGGGGGCACTACATAGGGGTTGCTTCAAGTGGAGAAGAGGTGGGGCTCCTCCTCAGACAGTTGAACAAAGTTTGAACATTGTTAATAAGTCTAGTGACTTTCAGTTCAACAGTTGTAAGCAAGTCAATAAACTCACCAAATATG